ATTGAAAGACTATTAATAGACTATTGAAAGATAATTAAAAGACTATTAATAGACTACTGAAAGATTATTGAAAGACCATTGAAAGACTATTCAGTACAGCAGGACAGATTCTCTCCCAAAAGAGTCAGACTGGACAAAAAACAACAACTTTAAAACCAACTTGTTCTGAACGTGAACAAGAAATTCTTGCTGCGATATTAAAATGTGTCAGTTCATGGTGTCAGGACAGGAGACAAGAGATGTCTCCAAATGTCTCGACACTCGGTCCAAGTTTTGAAAATGCTGTCAGAAGTTAAAATATCATTCACTGTTAACTCATTACAAGTTTGACTAGACAATATTTTCACTGGAGTTGAAACGATCAGAGTCTGTTCCTTTGTCAGTTGTGTCTAATGCTCCTTTATCCTGATGCATGCTCAATAATCCAGGTAGGAAAATCTAAAAAAGTTCAATCTGGTCCTCTGGACATAAAAAAAAACAAACAAAAAAAAAAAAGCAAAAAAATGTAGAAACGTTTCGTCTTTCATCCTGAGGACTTCCTCAGTCTGAGGTGCTGTATTCAGCTCAGTCTTATAAACAGCACCTTCTCAGAGTGGATCAACCAGTTTGCTGCTGACAACCAAAACCATGGTCCTTCTTGAGCATGTGATCAGCTGGTTCTGGTTGTCAGCAGCAAACTGGTTGATCCACTCTGAGAAGGTGCTATTTAAGAGACTGAGCTGAATACAGCTCCTCAGACTGAGGAAGTCCTCAGGATGAGAGACGAAACGTTTCTACATTTTTTTGCTTTGCTTTGTTTTTTTTGAATGTCCAGAGGACCAGATTGAACTTTTTTGGTCTAATGCTCCTTTTGTTCAGGCAGACAACTTTTACTTAAATTATTTACTGCAGTTAAAATGACACATTGGTTTTGCTTTGTGTTAAATAAAAACTTTTAAAAGTATAATATCATTCCTCTTTCTTATTTTGATTAATGACATTTAACTCTGCAGGTCATCCCTGAAATTCTGACACAGAATCACGAGTCCAAGTGTGAAATGTGTCACAGAGTAAACACAATAAAAACATGTATTATCTGCAGCATCGTTCAGTAAAATGGAACAACACTGTTAATGTATTACAGAAAATATACATACAGTAGGTACATTTAATGATATTGTAGACCATTGCGTTAGGTAATACATTCAGCAAGTACTTTTACTTTTAATACTTTATGTATTTTTAAAAGCAAGTACTTACTTACTTCTGCTCAAGTAAAAACATTAATGTGGTACTTCTACTTTTACTAGAGAACATTTTTGTCTGTTGATTTGTACTTTTACTTAAGTACGGTGTTTGAGTACTTTCTCCACCCCTGGTAAAATATCCTGTAAAATATCCTGTGAGCATGGGATGATCTTAGTGAGTGTCTGAAAGCGTTAGCCGACCTTCACCTCAGTCACTTTTAAAGGACCTGATCTAAAACGAGGTGTGGCTGCAGCTGAGGGTCGTTCACGACACGCAGTCTGAGGGCGACACGGTGCACGAGGTTTTCTGTAAAGACCACAACCGTTCCTACAAACTGAGGGATGAAAGGCGCCGAGCGATACGCATTCCTTCAAGGAATGAAATGCTGTTAAAGCTTTGTGTGTTCTTCGTGTGTTCTTGTGTGTTCTTCGTGTGTTCTTGTGTGTTCTTCTGTGTTCTTGTGTGTTCTTCGTGTGTTCTTCTGTGTTCTTGTGTATTCTTCGTGTGTTCTTCGTGTGTTCTTGTGTGTTCTTCGTGTGTTCTTGTGTGTTCTTTGTGTGTTCTTTTGTGTTCTTGTGTGTTCTTCGTGTGTTCTTGTGTGTTCTTCGTGTGTTCTTCGTGTTCTTTGTGTGTTCTTCGTGTGTTCTTTGTGTGCTGCATGAAAACGCGCTCGTGGCGGCTGAGGACTCACAGAAAGTGGCAGTCGGAGTCAGTCTCTGGGTGGGTGAACTCCACTCCGACCTCAAACGAGCTCTGAAAACACAAAGTGTTTGATGCGTTGTCACCGTGTAAAAAGCTGCTCACGCCATTTACACATCGTTTTGTTGTCAGTGAAACTTTAATGTTTTTCCATCCTTCATATGAAAAACATGAAGCTCTGCTCTCTGCTTTTACTCACTTTGGTAACCACAGCGACGCCTCCCAGCTCTTTGGCTATCAAACCCTGCATGGTCCACTTGAAGGCCTCCTTCACCTGGATGACATCATCCTTAGTGAGCGCCAGACCTTTGTCTCTGAAAGAACAAAGATCGTTCCAACATGTCCGACTCTAAAGGTGCTCAACACGTCAGGCTGACCTCTCACCTCACTTCCTTCTTCACGTGGAGCCAACAGGAGTGCTGCAGGGGCCACAGAGCACATTAGTAAAGAGACAAACTGTGTTCAGGTTAGAAACTGCCGCCTCACACACCTCACGCACGCAGAGCTGCGCAGGAAGAGAGACGGACAACAGCAGCGTGTCAAAGTCATAGTTTCCTTCCCTCACTGCCTCTGCCACCTGTGGGACCAGAAACATGACCAGTGTGTCCATTTAACGTCGGTCACAGGACAACGACACGGCGGCACGCACCTTTGCTGCCTGTTCAGCCCCACACAGACCCTGCAGGACACCCAGACACACCACACACACACAAGCGTGTCCCTGTGAGTCTGCAGCCGCCTCACTGGGATCCAGTTTAGCTCTTTTACTGGGTGGCTCTCCAGCTGCATCATGTGACGAGTCGTCAGCGGTGGAGGAATTCTGCACCTTGCCATCATGCTTTTGTCCAATAAACGCTCGAAGTAGTTCCAGTGTCTCCTGCATGATCAGACATTGAGGGTTTTATTGAGCTGGATCACTGTGAAAGGCGAGTCGTGCTGGGAGTCAGCGTCCTACCTGCGGCGGCTGTCGGTACGGGGCCTGGACGCTCACGCAGCAGAACCTGAGGACGCAGCGTGCGCAGCAGCCGGCTGACAGCAGCTTCTGGACGATGGGTTTATCCGTGTCCTTCAGAGGCAGCATGGCAGCAGGCTGCAGGACGAGCAACATCTGGGTTACACCGGGAACCAGAGGAGCTGGAGAAGAACAGCCTCTGCTCTTCTTCATTACTAAAGAGAAGCCACGCACGACGACGCCAGAAGATGTTTCACACAGTCGTACTGCAAGGACAGACGGTCACACCAGGCGTGCACAGATGTTTCACCGAAGCCTGGTCGTGAGTATCTGCACCGGACAGTGTGCGGGAACTGTTTTTATAATACAGCTAGCAGCTCCTCCGAGCTCGCAGACTTGGAGGCGACCTTGGAGGCGCCCTTGGAGTAGCAGCTGAACAGCAGCTCCTCATTCAGCTCTCTGCCGACTCAAACACGGTTCATGGGCAGTTACACAACACCCATACACTCTGACCAAACACACAACACTTTTTCCTCTAAACATTCGGTTTTGGATCATGGAAGCTGGTGGCACGGTGGTGCAGTTGGTAGAGCTGCTGCCTCTCAGCAAAAAGGTTGCCAAATAAAATCCCGTCTGGGGTCTTTCTGGGTGGAGTCTGCATGTTCTCTGCGTGCTACGTGGGTTTTCTCCAGGTTCTCCAGTTTCCTCCCACAGACCAACAACATGCATGTTAGACTGATGGTAACTCTGAATTGTTCCTGGGGCGGCTGTGGCTCAGTGGTTACAGCAGTCGTCCTCCATTGTGAGAGTTGGGGGTTCGAACCCACCAGCAGTCACATGCTGAAGTGTCCCTGGGCAAGACACTGAACCCCTCATAGCCTCTGATGTGTGTGTCCATCAGTGTCTGAATGTGATAAAGCTCTGATTAGTCTCTTTAGAATGATTTGTTCTATTATCTTTGTAGAGATCTAGTATAGAGCTGTATGAATGGGTAAATGAGGCACAGATTGTTGTAAAGAACTTTGAGTATCTTGAAATAAGATAGAAAGGAGCTGTTGTAGTGAACCTGATCTGACCTCAAATCTTGATCAGATGAACTGAGACTGTTATTTCATTGATCTGCATCCAGGAATACAGTTTGAGCCATCTGGTGACTTTCTTTCTTGAATTAATCAAGCAGAAAAGACAATTTTTATAATCATTACTGTTTTACAAATGTTTGATAATCAAATTGTGTTAGTTCACTCAATGTTACAGGTTGAAAAGAACTACTCATTTTTATTTCACATAAACAGTAAGTAATGATTTTTATTCCTCATTCAAAGAAGAAATCAGGTTAATATGCATTTCTTGATTTTTCTGTCTGCAATGTAAGTATGTTAAAGGTCGGTTCTTGGTCAACTAAAATGTTTACTGAGAAGAAAATGTCATGTTTAATCTTTATAGAAGATTATAAGTGTGAGACTCCACGAAGTCTGAAGTCCTACAATAATCTTTCTGTTTGTCACTAAAACAATCCTTGACTTTTAATAACATCTTACATCATACACCACACCTCTATTCCTGGTCCATCGACCAATCAAAAGCTCTCAAATGACCCGGAAGTCGACCCATTTAAAATGTGGCAACTTCCCAGTTCATAGAGGAGTTGCAAGAAGCTGAGACGCTGAGTTGCTGGAGTTTGTTGGTTGCTGTGTTGCTGTACTCAGAAATGAGTTCAACTAGAGAGCGCACAGAGTGATGGAGTTAGAGCTCTTGGATGCAGACGCGTTCAGGATGATCCAGAGACGTTTTGGGATTATAATTTCTGTTTGAACACCACGCACGACTCTCGAAGGATTTCAGCTGCTCTCAACGGAGACGCTGAAAGAGTCTGAAGGATTCTATACCGACATTGAGCTATCGTCAACCAGGTAACAGTTTCTTCTTCGACTAAAGTGTACCGGAAGCAAGCTGAGATCTGATGGAGCGTGCACGTTTTCTGGTCAAACAGATTAATTCCCTCACAAATCTCTCTGTAAGATAAATCTCCATTTCCATCTTAAACTCTGCTTTCTCTTAAAATCAGTACAGATATCTTAGAAATATCTGAAGCAAAGTCCTCAATCACCGCCGCGTGATTGAAGCTCATTATTTGTGAAACTTGTCTGTTATTATTTTCATATTTTGCCAAATTAATGTAAATGTTTGATGTTAAACTTTGATTCTGAAAATAAATGACCGCATTCATTTGATGGGTCAAAGATAATAACGTCTCTCGTTCGCATTTCTGTTAAAATTCAATGCACGACATTTACACAGTCAGAAAGATGAGGAACTCGTGAAAAGTATGCATATATATTTCCCTATATTGTACTACTACACTGTATAGGTACAGTCCATGTACCATTCCCTAGGTGAGAGAGAGAGAGAGAGAATGGTTGTCTATGTGTCCCTGTGATGGACTTGAGACCTGTCCAGGGCGTCCCCCACCTCTCACACAGTCACTGATGGACATGAGCACCAGTGACCCCTGCGACCCAAAAAGGAGGAAGCGGGTAAAGATAATGGATGGATGGATGGATGATGGATGGATGGATGGATGATGGATGGATGGATGATGGATGGATGGATGGATGATGGATGGATGGATGATGGAAACTTTCCACAGCCTTTCAACATCTTTATTGTCTTTTTCTTTTACATCATTGGACGTCATCAACTGTCCAGTAGTGGTTTTAACATGTACAGTATCTGCTGATGTACATCCATCCATCCGTCCGTCCATCCATCCATCCACCCGTCCATCCATCCACCCGTCCATCTATCCACCCGTCCATCCATCCATCCATCCACCCATCCATCCAACTATCCATCCATCCATCCACCCGTCCATCCATCCATCCATCCATCCGTCCATCCATCCATCCATCCATCCACCCATCCACCCATCCATCCATCCATCCATCCATCCATCCTTCCACCCATCCATCCATCCAGAATGAACAGAACTGCCAGTAGGTCCAGTGCTTGTGTCCTTTCCTTCCTGAGCTTTAGGAATCAGTGGAGGAGGTGAAGTCTTCTTGTTGCTGGACATTCTGTGGACCTGTCTGCATTAAAGTCACAGAATTGATACAACTCCACAAGAACACTGACGGACTTTTGAGTTTGTTACTGGAAACAGCCTGGATGCTCCTTTCCCCTTTTAATCAGGAGCACACAGCGTCTTATCTCTTCCAAACAGGAGCTGGAATCCTTTGAGGACCATCCATATTTCCAGTATGACGCTCCCAGTAGACTCTGGTTTGGGAAGCCGTCTTTGCCTCAAGCGGAGTTCACGTATAGACGTCTCGTTCATGATGGAGCAGCAAATGGATCAAAGGATTAAGGCCCCATCTGCAGTAATGAGGGTGTTGTTCTGGTCTGTTGAAGTGAAGTGTCTGAGCTATATGGCCAAAATCTCTATTTACTGATCTACGTTCCAAACCTTACCTATGGCCAGGAGAAACAGACCGTGACTGAGAACAAGATCCTGGATACAAGCAGCTGAAATGAGGTTCCCCTGTCATGTGGAGCCTGTCCACACGACCTCGTGCTCGAGGTCAGGACCTCCGTTATCTGGGGGAACTTGGATTTGAGTCGCTGCTCCTCCACATTAAAGGAAATCTGCTGAGGTGCCTCCTCCTGGAGGTTTTCCAGGCAGGCCGCATTAGACCCCAGGGTAGATCCAGAACTCAACGGAAGGAAGATATAAAGTCCGTCTGGCCCGGGAGCACCCTGGGACCCCCAGGAGGAGCTGGAGTGTCCCGGGAACACCCTGGGACCCCCAGGAGGAGCTGGAGTGGCCCGGGAACACCCTGGGACCCCCAGGAGGAGCTGGAGTGTCCCGGGAGCACCCTGGGACCCCCAGGAGGAGCTGGAGTGTC